TTGCAGTGAGATAGCAAAGAAAAAAAATCTTCTGGATGGCTCCAAGGAAAATTTGATTAGATGGTCCTGTGTTTCAGTAACACACATAAGAAACTTCTGAATAACTTGTTAAATGTGCCCCACTTTTTATTTAAATTCCATTACACTGATCTCCAAGAATCAGAAAAAAAAAAATTCTTTTATAATAATAAATGTCATTTGACATCATAAAGAATAACTTGTTTGAGTACAAAATTTATCTTGGCACAAATTTTGGTTTCTAAAAGGAGGGAAAGCATCAGAACTTCTGTGTAAATTTTGCTAAACAAAAGATAACCTGAAAGCCAGGCTGTGGTGGTTTTCTTCATCATATGGATGAGCATGAATATTTGCATTTTAATAATCACAGTGACCACTAAAGAGAAAAACTTTTGAAATACAGTAAAATGTTGTTGATGTGTACTCTGCATTGACCCTGTGTATTTGGAATTTGCTATGATTCCATATGGATTGGGGTAACATTTATCTTTGCTGTGTCTATTTTGAAAGGATTTGTTAAATAATTTTTTGCAGAAATTAAGCAAGGAGATTTGAAAGTAATTTAATTTTTTTGTCTGTATATTGTGCTAGTAATTTCAAGCCAGCCCTTTTCTTCCCCTTACAATAGGCCACCAACTATGTCAGGGCTGAAGGCTCTACCTTACACCTTTTCACCAAATGAACCATCTAGACCACAGGCATTTCCGCCGCAGGTCAGACCCCACATAATTGCAACTTAGCATCTTTTTTACTTTGCTAGGGGACCACCCATTTCTGTTGGTGGCACCCTCCCAGTATTCAACAAGTATATGAGAAGAGACCACCTTGACTACCAGTGTAACAACATCTGGGGAATGTTCTCTAGTTCAGTTCAGTCCACTGTCTTCTGTTTTCCTCTCTTCTTTGGATCACTGCCTAGCCCTTGAAATGGCTCCAGTGTCATGTAGTCCTCCTGCCCTGACTTTATCTGACCTGATCTGACTTATGAGGCTTTATTAGGACTCCACCACAGCCCATCTCCCCATTCCTGAGTTCATGTTCCTCAGAGCTCATCAGTTTTACTAATTGTGTCTTATATCCTCTATAAGATTGTCAAAATAATCTTTCTAATTTTGTTATTTTCATATATTTTTCTCACTTAAGTATCAATACCATCCTCTTAATGTATGTTAAAGCATACATGACTCATCCTTATGTGAATTTTTTTTATTATTAAATCAGTTTGTTTTATTAGTCCTTGGGTAGATCATCTGATCTAGTCCCTACTCAGTCTTCCCTCCTCTCTCCCAGAACACAAACACAACACATACACAGAACCAGTTTTCTCTGTTAGAGAACAGGCTGTTTCTCTGTGAGACCCTAAATGTTCTGCCCTTCCAAGTTCTATTGAATTAAAGGTGATTTCCTTAAACATTTTCAAATCACTATTTAAAATTAGTAGTGTTTTATTCTACAGTAGGCTTTTAAATAAACAATCCTGGAACATATAATCTTCTGTTTATCCTTGGAATCTAAGGAGCAGATTCAGTCAAACCTCATGTTAAATTTAACCCCCAGTGACCTTGAGAGATTCATTCTTCCCTCAAATATAACACTGGACCAGCTCTCTGTGATGAAGAGACGGCATGATGTTCTGCCTGCTTGCAGAACCTTGCCCTAGGGGGGAGAGACAGGTGGGAGAGACAGGTCATTTCCAAAGCAACAAGAGTGAAGGGACAGAAAATGGCGCAAGGTAGGGTTGTGATACAGAGTAAGTGACTAAATCTGACAGTAGGAACCAGGAGGTGATGCTTACACTGTGTCTAAGGGGTGAGGAGGGATTAATGGTCTCTCCCTTTTTAAATTTCCCTAGCATATAGGCATCCAGTTGGTGATATATATCATTTCACTTGTTTGTGTATCACCTGGGAGTCATTTTTTTTTCTAAAGGTTTGTTTATGCTTACAGAACTAGAGTACAGGACAGAGGTGTGGTGGGTGAGAGGATTCACCAGAGAGAGAGTGGAGAGCAGAACAGGCAGATTGACAAAGTACACTGCTGAGGGTAGCAGCGGGCGGGTCAGGAGAGGTCTGCCGCTCCATGAGGGTCAGCTCCCTGGCTGGTGATCGAACTCATGGCTTCAGTGGCCTCAGAGGATCTCATAATGTGGTGCTTTCACCTGTTGCGCCACCAGGTAGAGCCCCAGTTTCTTATAAAAAAAAAACCCCAAAACAAACAAACAAACAAAAAAACACTTGATATCATCCAAACAGAAGCTATTTTTTAAAAAAAGGAGAAGCGTCATGTGTACCTGTGGTTTGGTTTCCCTCATATTACCTAGTAAGACTAGGTAAAGTAAGTGTTACTTTGTATTTTGTTTTAATATACAGGGAAGCTAGAGTTCCTCTGTAAGATATATATGTATATTTTCAGTTATTCTGTTTAGCCATAGAAATGATTGATTTGCCCTGTTTGTCCAGCATCCTGACTTCCTATCACATTATCCTCCTTCTCCCATCTCTGGATTCCATTCTTCTGCTCATTTTCGTGACCGACACTGTGTGCATACAAGACAATCTGTTATGGAAAGTGTTTGGCTGTGGAATGAACTAGAACTAATTGAGTTGTCCAAGAATGGAAGCTGTGGTTTTGAACTTCCAGATGGTTGGTTTAAACATTGACTTAACCAGCCACAGACGGGTACTAAATACTTGCTTGTTGCATGGTTAATCCATTTATAATATACTACACATGATAAACTCTGATCATTTTGGCTTTGATAACTCATCACGAATAAATTCTTTCCATATCAGGGTTGTGATACAGAGTAAGGGTCCTGAGGGTCCTGAAAACAGGTCTGCTTCTCTTCTGTAGTTCTGCTTATCCCTATTTCCCCTCAAACTGTGTGGTTTTTATTTGGCAAAGTGAAGTTGGATAGAACACTTGCAAATTGACTTCCTGCAGGAAAAAGGGATCTGGCACTTTTACTCTGTTTTAATGGATGCAGCAGTTCATTGTCCTTTATTTTCTCTTTACATATTAATAGGACGCCCAATTTAATGGGCCATATGATCATCCTGATACTTGTTTAATTTCCCACTCTCCCTTGCAACTTCTTGTGGCAATGGTCCCTTGCAACTTCTTGTGGCAATGAAACTACATTCAGGGCATTGGCGATGGGGAGGGACTGATCTGAGCAACTGCTGGGTTGACTCCTTTAAAATGGAAGCATGCTCTTCCTGACCTAATTTTTTTTTTCATCTTCTCACTGACTGGAATGTGGCAGTAATGGTGACCTTGAAGATGAGGGCAACACCTTTATGGTGGAAGAGCAACACAACAGAAGAAACCTGAGACTCTGGCTGGGGCAACCTCATGAAATTGCTTGTCCTGTTTAAGTTGTGATTACCTTAGGTCTCTGTTTCATCAGTTAATTAATGCATCAGGAGATAAAAAGCTCTTGAGGTTTGGTGTTGAGTGATAAGACCAAGAGAAGATACATACTTTTAAAGATATTTAATAAGAATTTTTTTCAAATCAATACAAAAATTTAAATACAAAAATGATTTGTTATTGACAAGTCTCAACTCTCTCATGGAAACTCAAGAAAGTTGCCAGTCTGTTCATCATTCATGGTAAAATATTTGAGAACAGTCACCCAGAACAGACATTCTTTTGCCCTATAGGATATCATATTTCATTAAAACCCTGTATTTAAATAACAATAATGCCAGTTTGGTCCATTTCATATGGAAATAGAGATTATATAGCACTATCCTTTGATTTTAGAACATATGGTTGTTTCATCCGCTTTTATACTAATGTGTTAATCTAATGTGCAACACTCAAAAGGGGAACACAGACACATAGATAATTATTTAAAACTCTTTTTTAAATTAAATGGAGTAATTCATTTAGCTCTGAGATTAGCACCATTGTAGAATATACAGTATCTGGCATAGATTTTGCTCCTCTCATCTAAAAGTAGAAGCATATGCCTGATTAATACACACACACACACACACAAACACAGGCAATTGAATAACAGCCAATAAATAAGTTGGAAGGTATTTTTAAAAGTGAAATTTGGTTTTAACTAAAGAGACTCTTAATCGGTAGAAATAAAAGGCCCGTACATGTACAGATAAGTACAGCTTTACATTTCAGTTGATCTCACTTGCTTCAGTATAACTTCTCCAGTGAGCCCAATGTAGTTCACTGTCTTATAGGTGAAGGCCTAAAACCAATACCTTCAAAACCAATCCAAAGGATATTTGGCCACATAAATGTTGTCTGCATTGAAGAGGAAAGGTGAATGGAACATCTTTTTGGTAAGAAAATTTTGCCATAGAACTAGGAGTAAATAAGAAACCCTGTGGTAATCAACTCACTTCTCCAAGAAATTGAGATGAAATGGTACTCATATACCTTGCAAGAGGAAAGACAGTAGGTTGAGAATTTTCCTCATGGGTCAAATGATTCCTATTTGGCATTGATGCATCTCCATGTGTATTTATACTGTATTTGTGTATTTTCCTATCTGAACCTACACACTCGACTCCTCATTCTTCATTTTGAGAAAATGATGGGAAGATCCCATCACCACAAAATGCATGATTTACCCCAGTGTCTTATAGTGCCAGCACCAACTAATAGTCTACATGAAATGTTCTGTGTTGTGAGAGCAGATTTGAATGCCTAGAGAAGTTGGTATGAACCTAAGTGAAAACCTGGAGAAATATTTAATTTTCCCTCCAAACTTTTATCCATCCTTGACTTATGTTGAGTATGAGATGATGTTAAAAGCACAAGCTGTCACTGCCCTCCTCCAGGGTGCTTGCTTCTAAAGAAGCAGTTCTGTCCCCACGATTTTTGTAGTTACATCAGGAAGTTATGTATCTATTTTAAAATTAAAAACTTATTTAAAAAAATTAATCTTCCTATGTAATCTTGAAATTTTCCCCAGTCTCCCCCCCCCCACCACCAATAAAGAATGATAAGGATTTTGGAAATTATCTCTGGAACCTTAAATGATACACTGAATTGCATATAAAGTAGACAGGGAAATTTCTTTGAAATTCTTAACTACTAAGAATATTAATCCCATTCATGGATGAAAGAAACCCCATTGTAATCATTTGTGTGTACAGGCAAAGGAGAGGGATTTTTATATGCATGTAAATACAAGTAATAACCCCTATTTATAATCATCATTCCATATGAAAGGCTGTGGGGGAAGAGGGTATTACTAGTATTTTATGACTTGCAGGTGTTCATATTAGTTGGCCATAGTGGAAATTACATGAAGGGGAGAAAATAAAGCACTCGTGAGGAATAAATGAGTTGATCACTGCTCGGGGCTCCCACCTGGCTTAACTGCTCCTTGTGAGGCACTGTCATATCCCTACAAAATGTTGCATCTGGTGCTATACACACATGGCACTGATTGACTGGTACCTTGTGCTTGAGACATGAGACAATCCTGAGTAGGACTCCTTTGGCTAAAAGACACAGCCTTAGGCAGACGTGAGAGCTCCTTTAGACTATGCCCTATGTGGTTCCTCTGACACCCTTGCACTGTGGCAGATACTGCAGAACTACTTGCCACATCTCATGGCAAAATATCTGCACAAATACAGAAGCAATTATGCAAGTAATACAGTATGTGATGATGTTTCCTTAAGCCATGTTTATAATTTTTAAACTATATGAGTGAGTGATTTTCATTGGATATGATCTTTCCTACTGAAATATTCTGACTGATTTGAATGAACAGGTTATGATGGAAGCATATAACATACAACAGCAAATGTGATCCAGTGGGTACAACATGAGGGTCAGTAAATGACACATAAATCTACCCCATCATTTTCAGTGACAAGCTGCTGTGCAGAGCATTGGACATGCATCTTAATTTTTATTTATACATGATGGTTCAAAATTTCACTTAAATATAACTTTCCAACTATATAAATGTTTTAAAGCAACTATGTTTTTCATTTGAATTTTTTGGCGCATTATTTTCTTCTATTAAATATCTCTTTTTCTTTTCTTTTTGTTTTTACATGGGATACAATAAATATCCTGAAAAGGAGGAATGCACATACTGCCCGGCATACAGTCCTGCAGCCTGTTCTGAGGGCATCTGGAGGAACACGCGGTCTCCCGGCCTGAGCAGCAGCACCGCACTCCCAGACGCTTGGTCCAGAAAGCCCTTTTTGTATTCGTCATATGTGTACATCATGGGCTCGTTGTTCTTGAACAGAGCAACCCAGACATTGCCCCCCTTGCAGTGAACGTGGTATGCAAAGTAGTAGACACCTGGGACCTCACAGGTGAAGATGCCCGTCTGAGGGTTGTAGTTCTGTCTGCCATTGTAGAGCAGTTTGTCAAACTTCACTGGGGCCCCCACCGGTGGGAAAGGCGCAGTCAGCTCAGCTGTAAATGCAGGCATCTCATAGGCTGGCCCTCCTTTCTTGCCTTTCTTAGCCCCGTAGGCAGGGGGCGGTTTCACTCCATCAATTCCCAGCCCCATATCTGGCAGATATTCTCCATGGGGTGGTGGTGTAGGGGGCATCACAGCTGGGGGGCCTGGGGGCCCAGGAGGGCCTGGGGGCCCCGGAAGGCCAGGCTGACCTTGAGGACCCAGGGCACCAGGCTTCCCTGGGGGGCCATGAAGTCCTGCTACTCCAGGCTTCCCTACTCCAGGGAACCCAGGGGGCCCTGGCAGGCCTGGTTCCCCTTTGGCACCTGGAATTCCAGGTGGTCCAATGGGGCCACTAGGGCCTGCAATCCCTGGGATGCCTGGAGGGCCCTGTAGCCCCTGATCCCCTGGGATTCCTGGTTCTCCCTTGGGTCCAAGCAGCCCTGGAGCCCCAGGGAGCCCTGGCAAACCTTTGTGCCCAACTTCTCCCTTGGGCCCTAAAGGACCTGGCAAACCTCTCATGCCAGGGGGCCCCACTTCTCCAAGGAAACCTGGTTTTCCTGGGAAGCCTTGAAGCCCTGGTTCACCTTTGGGACCTGGTGGCCCTTGTGGTCCCACAACCCCACCTTCTCCTTTGGGTCCAGGAAAACCAATGGCACCTGGAGGGCCCATTGGACCCGGGATTCCAGGTAGGCCTGGTTCTCCTGGGGGGCCCCCCATTCCAGGGGCACCTATTGGTCCTTTCTCCCCTCTTGGTCCAAGAGGTCCAGGAAGACCCCCTAAGCCCTTGTCACCTTTGGGTCCTGGGAAGCCTGGTTTCCCAACTCCTGGAAGGCCTGGGGGTCCTGGCAACCCAGGCAGTCCTTGTTCGCCTTTGCCACCTGGAAATCCTGGCTGACCAGGGATCCCATCCTGGCCTGGCTTTCCAACCCCAGGTATCCCAGGAGGTCCTTGAACCCCAGGTACCCCAATGGGACCTTGTGGCCCAGGTTCTCCTGGAGGACCTGGCTTTCCCAGAGGACCCTGGGGCCCAGGAAAGCCTGTCACTCCTGGTTTTCCCACTCCTGGAAGTCCCACAGGGCCAGGGGGGCCATGCATCCCTGGAGGGCCCTTCAAGCCTGGCAAACCAGGCATCCCAAAGCCCTTCTCGCCTTTAGGACCCTGAAGACCTGGAGGTCCTGGAGGTCCTTTCGGTCCTCGTTCACCCTTTGCACCTGGTTGCCCTGGTAACCCTGGCCCACCTGGCTTGCCGAGGCCAGGAAGTCCATGAGGCCCTGGCGGTCCTTGGGGCCCAGGGATTCCCATAGGCCCAATTTCTCCTTTGGGTCCAATTTCTCCTTTTGCCCCAGGCATTCCCATGGCTCCTGGCTTTCCTGGCATTCCAGGCATACCTGGCTTTCCAATTCCTGGATATCCCTGAGGCCCTGGTTTTCCTTTGGTTCCAGGTATACCATGACCCGGTATACCTGGGGGTCCAGGTGGTCCTCTTGGACCAGGTTCTCCTCGAGGACCTTGTTCTCCTCGTAAACTGGCTAATGGTGTTTCTGCTGGAAGGTAGAGGGGAGGGTGAAAAGAGAGAGATTGATATTATCTTTCACTTCAAGGAAGGCATGGCAATCATTTAGTCCTGACACATTTACTATTACTTAACACCGGACCAGAAATAATGTGCTCACTTCCAGAGCTGAATGTGCTTAGTACTTAGAAGACACTCAAGCCGATGATTTCTTTGCCATTTTTGAGACCGTGTTTTGAGCACTGGCATCTGCTGCTTTCATCAGCATTGGTTAAATAAAAACGCTAAAAATTTGTAAAGAAACACTTTCCAGATGGTAAATGTAGAGATATTGTATTCACTGGAGAGAATTTAGAAAATACAAAGGACAAAGAATAGCCAAAGTTGCAAGGTTCCAGGTATTGTGTGTATTGTGTATTTTAAATATTGTTGACATCATCTTTATTTAATTTTTCTATTTTCCTACTTAAAAACTGTATTGTCTTTTTCTACACTGATTATTTTATATAACTTTTCTCTAAATACAGTATGGTGTGGATGATGGAAGACATTATCATGTAAACTTAGGGGAGTATAAAGCATTTTTATTTTGTATGTGGTTCAATAACATTTTCAACACTTGTCCTCCAGAGTCAAATAGATATACCTAATTTCTTTAGTACACTCTAGGGTTTCTAATCTCAAAATCAGCTCTTTATTTTACTAGTTTATTACTCATTTGTAAGTTTTTAAACTGGAGAAGTGAATAATGTTTTCAGACAGCATGTGGTGTGGATAAGGAATTGAGCTGGGATTAGCAGTGGGCAGGTCAGCTTCTATTCTTCACCATGCAAGGAGACTTTGACTGGGTCACTTAGGTCATCAGCATCCCTGCTCACCTAGCTGCAGAGCAAGAATAATAAACCTACTGGATAAAGTTAGATAACAGCGTGCATGTTATTATCATGATTGTACTGTGCCTTGTCCTTGCAGAGGATACAACTTCTGGATCTCCCATGTTATTGGGAACCATTCAGAAATGACTCTTCGCCATTTATTTTCACTGCTTTTTACCCCAGCATCTGACCCAGAGCTTGACACAAAAATAAATACTTGTGAAATATTTGCCAAATGTTTGAATATACAGCTAATGAACAAGGGAATAAATTATTTGTTACTTAATATGGCTTGTGTCATTTGATACTGTTAAGATAATAAGGTATAACATAAAATGGCCTGTATATTTCTTTAAGATGTATACTTTTCAAGGCTAAGAGTTTAGAACATATTAGGCATTTATGGATGTCGGTAAGGCATTTTACCAAAAGTTACTGAAATTTAACTCTTCCTTCTTAATCTCATAGTTAAAGATTTTAGAAATCTAATATTTTATAGCCATATAGGAGTAGGATATTACCTTTTCCTTTCTTAGGTGCCACTTCCTTGCCCATTCTTGGCATTGGCTGAATTTCCTTTCTATATTGGGGTAGGTGTGGGTACTCTTTGCCATACTGCATGTGGGGTACGTCCTTGCCCATGCTAAGGCCATCTGTACCCAAAGGCACGTGAGGTACTTGCTGACCCAGGGGCTGGTATTGTGGAATCTGCGGTGGGATCTGAGGTGGCAGCGGCTTGATTCCATAGTAGGCCCCAGCCTGGATGAGCCTGATAGAGCCCAAGGAGATGGTGAGGAGCACTCCCAGAAACTGAACAGGGGTGGGCGGCCCAGCCATCACCTGTGGGAGGGAGGAAAGTGCCGACATGGTGAAAACCTGCAGGTCAAGTGGCTGGAATTTATGCAGAGAAAAAATTTAAAAAGGAGGAGATGCAGTCGCTATCAGCAGAACTTCATGAGTGAAATACATGAATGATACGTGTGTTCACTTTGTCACACATGTTACCTTCCCATAGAAAACAGAAGAGTTGGCCTTTCAACTGAAGAAAATTATCAGAATTACAGGCCATAGGAGAGGCTGTTAGTTGTCCCTGACTATCAGTACTGCCTTCTCCCATAATACCGGAACCTCTCACTTCCTCCTGGAACAGAATGAAGGCCTTTCAGTAGACGTGGTAATGTGATGGACAATTTGGACAATTTGGATGTACTTATGATGGGAGTAACTTCCCAAATGGACCTGAAAAGGGGTGAGCAGTTTCGTCTTCTTCTTCTTGGTGTCTGGAATGATGAGACGCTGCCTGGACATGGACGTGCTACCTTGGCCCCAGGAGGGAAAATAGAACGCTGAAGATGGTACTTCAAGCTAAAAGAAAACTCAGCCTTGCTCGAACACTGAGAGGTGCCATAGAGACCCTTCAATTAGGAATTTGTTTATGCAAGGGAGCAATAAAGGTCAATATTCTTCAAAGGCCATTGTTTTGGGTGTTACACATTTGCATTAAATTTAATTATAATAGAGTAGAATATCCAAAAGGAAGCACACCAGGTGACAAGTCCATCACTGGTAGTAAGCACCAAATTCTTTTCTAAATGAAAGTTATTAATAATTCATAGGCTTTAAACCAGGGGTTGAGATTTTTCACCTGCCAGATGTCCCTTGGCTGCTGTGGTGTGGTGACAAATTCAAAAAGTGAAAAATGACGATGAAAACTGCAGAAATCTCACAAACTGGAAAGAAGGTATTTCATGTAACAGTCCAAAGATATTTTAAAAATTGCTGTAATAATTATGCAGAGCCCGTGATGCCATTTATTACTTCTATTAATACTATGAAGCCATTAATTTATAATTTGGCTAATTGAACCTCAAGTCCATTACATTTTATCTTTGTACTTTTATGGAAGAAAGGCGTTTACAGCCCTCCCTGGTGGCACAGCAGGTCAAAGCACAGCACTAAGAAGCTTAAGCCACTTCCGCTGCGTTAGATCCCCGCCTGCCCCAGAGGAGATCCACATGGCGAGGCAGACCTCTGCTGACCCGCCCGCCGCTCCCCTCAGCAGTGTATTTCATTGATCTGCCTGTCCTGCTCCCCACTCTGTCCCTGGTGAATCCTCTCACCCTCCGCATCTCTGGCCTGTACCCCAGTTCTGTACGAATAAATAAATAAATCTTAAAAAAAAAAAGAAAGGTGTTTACAAAACAAACTAGTTGCATAAATAAGAGGAGGCTGTTAGACTATTCACAAGAATAAACTGTTTCTAAACTATTTAATAGCACCCTTTGTAAATTAGCAGTTAATAGAATAAATATAAATGGGGCTTATCTGTTCTTAAAAACCAGTTTGAAAATATGTTTGGAAACACCAAGAACTGAAGAGAAGTCCAAGGAACAGCAGTGTTGCAAATGGCCACTAGAGGGCAAGTGTGCTACATCTTCAGGTTGGCTTCACCCCTTCCCCCCAGGACTGCTAACAAATCACAGGACTTTGCTCAGAACTTAATAGGGGACTTCATGACACTATGAATCCTAAGTGGAATATCATCAGAATGCTGGATGGGGAGAGAAGTGGCAAGCTTCTGACAATTTTTAATGTAAGCATCTTCCGGAAAACTTCCAATAAACTTCTCTATAAACAATTTAAGTTTCCATTCTCCTGAGAATTTGTTGTCTTTGCTTCTGCATTACTTAACTTTGGACCATAGTTTTCCACTAATGAGAAAATGTGCATTAACTTTGCAACATCCTATTTAAAAATAATGCCAAGAGTGTGAACAGGCTATAGAAGAATTGGTTAAATATTTTAATAGGAATTTCGACCACAAAATTTACTGCTTTACAATTTTTCTAAATATACTAACTAATCATTTTCCTTCAAAGGCAAAAATGAAGAAACATATGTCAGTAAATGATTTAGAAAACTTTCTACATTTCATGAGCCAGAATAGTCACAAGAACTGTTTATTTCAATTGTATGCTAATAGATGTACTATATGTAGAAGAAGATAGAAAGTTGTTACTTCCTGGTCTTGTAAGAATGATTAATTGTTATAAGCCACTTGGAAATAGACAAAAATGAATATTTATTTATACTCAATAATAGTCAAACTTATTTCAGATGGAAAAAGAACACCTGTTGTAAGCAGTGATAACTTGAGTTCTTGCCAGAAACAATGCTAGACCTAGCCAGGGATTACAAAGATGAATATAAAATGGACAATGGTTCTCCCTCAAGGAGCTTATACTCTTTCAATAATAGTGACAAACGTGTAAGCTATTAATGAGTAGCAAAGAATACCCAGTAAAAAATGTAAATTTCACTTGTCTCCAGTATCTAAAATTCCTTCCCTTTGAAGCAACAACTTTCCCTGTTTCTCCCCTATTTTTCCAAAAATATTCTGTGAATATGCACATAGCATAAACACTCCTTTAAGACATTAGTTATAGCACACTATTCACACTTCTGTTCCTTTCTTATTCCACTCACACTAGAACTTCAAACCTTATTTCTCCTCTTAGTTTTGTGAATGAACTTCATTTGCTAAAAATAAAATTTGATCATCCCCAACAGCCCTGTCTAGGTCTAACATTTGGGCTCGAAGGCAGTAACTAGACAGTTGCTTATGTTAATGCAAACAGAAGTATATGGAAATACCTAGTAATGTATTAACTCTACCTTTGGGGATAAATGCATTGAATTACTTAACCCTAAACATGTGACAATATCTATCATCGTAGGCTAGCAAGCTTAGCTCCTCACCCTTCCATCATTTCAGTGGATGTGTTGGATTGTACTTAATCTTTAAACTAGGACAACTAATGAAACTCTGGAAAACTGGAAGGAGGCAAAATGCCTGGAAGAAGACCAGTTGAATACCAAAGCTCCAGTGGGATCCTACTTACTACAATTATTTCCTCTTGCAGGCTTGGCCTTTCTCTTCTGAAAACCACCTCCTTCAGTTTGCCATCTGACATTTCTCTGTCTCTTTATTTAAATAAACTTTGTTCTGTTTTAACTTGAATATTTCTGTAGGGGCCCTGGTTAGAATTTACCGCTTGACTTAGCCCTCCTAATTTCCCTCTTTTCCCTGAGGATAGTTTTGGTGGTCAACATGGTGTGGTGGTTCTCCCCAAATCACTCAAAAGAACATCAGATTTGTGTAACACTATGCAAACACCTGGCGGGAAGAAATATTCTTGAAATCCTGCTGAGAAGTGGTAGCAGTGGATTTTCTTGCTTCTTTTTTCTTATTCTGATGATGTGAGTTCTAGTTCCATGCTTTCTTGGATTTTTGTCTGATGGCTTGTGTTTGTGTATGTCTTTGTGTGAGTGAGTATAGAGTGGGTATAGATAAAAACACACACTGAGTTTTGGACACTGGATCTTTGTCAGATAGGCATAGGCCAGCTTAGCAAATGGGTATTTGTCATATGGGAGAAATTTTGTAGAAGAAACCAAAACCATAGAGTTGACTTGTATCTCTGCAATCTTCCATGTCTTATGATCTAGAGCAAATTCTTTTTCTTCAATAAATCTCAGTTTCCTTTCCTATAACATAGAAATTATAAGCCCTGCCTCTTCCATAGAGCTGTTCAAGAGCACAAATGATAACATGACTTCTTTGTAAGCTGAAAAGCATGATTCAAATTTAAATTATTATTAATGGAGTGTGACCAACAATACAAATCAAAACCAAATGAAATGTCAAAACCTTTGAAAGAAGGATATTAGCCAAAGAAAATGTGAGGTTAACTGCAATAATGATAAACCTAACATGAATAAAATAATGGCCCTTAAAATATACTTGTTAAAAATGAGGAAAAAAAAAAAAAAGAACAGCTGAATGAAGGCAGTTATTCATTCTGGAGTGAGAGCTGCCAATCCTGACTATTTTGAACTGCCCTAAGTGGGTACCTGTATTTGGGCACGACTGAAGGAACTTTCTGTTTCTTTGTGAAACCTGTAATGTAGGCAACAGCATAATGTGATATATATATATATATATATATATATATATATATATATATATATATATATATAATTTTAAACACTCCTCAGCATTCAAATTATACATATATCCTCATGAGATTTTGACTTGTTGTCCAAAACAAGGTTTAATTATCTAAATTCTTAGGCCTAGTCCTAAATGTATATTGCCTTTCACATCAGCTAGTGTCATGGATGCAATGTGTGTGCCTGTGAGTCTGTATCACATGTGGCATGGACAAGCCTCTCTCCGGGTGCCCCCTCCTTACCCTTTGCACAGGTTTGTCATTTTCAAGGCCTTATGGTCACTGCACCTGAAGCAAGGGAAAGCAAGGACCCTCCTCCAAGCTTGAGTAGAATTGACTTTGTGGCCTGTCCAGGTCTCAAAGACAGGTGTCCCCTGATCACATTCTCAAGGCAATTCATGCATTAGCTGTGGGTATGTACATAGTACCTACTAATGGTCAGTAACTGTTCTGGGCAATACAGCGGTGAATTAGAAATATGAAACCCCTGATCTTCTGAAACTCACATTCCAATGTGGGAAGATAGGCAACAAAGAGTTAAAAATAAATTTCATAATTTCAGATTTGGATATTGGGAAGAAAGAAAGCAAGACAAAAGGCTTGAGAAGGATTTAGGGTAGAAGGCACTCTTTTCGAAAGGATAGTGGGGGACGATACCACCAAGGAAGTCAATTTTGGATAGAGACATAAAGGTTGAAAGGCTTATTTATCAATATTAAGACATGATTCTGAAAAAAAAAAAGTTTATTATAATGGTAACTGAAGATAATGTAAACTGTTGCAAAACTTCTTTCTTATCTATGTTCACTCTCCTTATTTTGACCTATT